CCAGGCCGCGCCCACAGCGCCGCGCGCGCACGGGCAGGGCGGAGCCACGCCCCCCGCCCTCAGGCGCCACAGGGGGGCCCCGCCCATCGCTACGCTCACCACCCTCACGGAGCCGAAGCCACGCCCATAATACGATTAAACTCCGCCCACCGGTCCCCACCCTCAGGCGCGCCCCAAGCCACGCCCGCTCAAAGCCACGCCCATTCAAGGTCACGCCCACCTCCCCTCAGACGCCCCCCCTCCATTTTGACGACCCCCAAGAATGAGCCCAGTCCCACGTTGGAGCCTCTTTACTGGTTAAACTGGGCAGGGTCGGGGTTGGGGGGTTGGAATTGGGGGGTCCGTGTTGAGGGCTCGCTCCTGAGGGGCTCAGAGAGAGGACGCCATGATGCTGGACACACCTGGGAGAAAAACAGGTGAGCTGGCGGGGGGCTCAGGACACCAATCTCCCTCAGAAACCCCTGGGCCTCTCCCGTATCCCTCCCCAGACCCCCCAAAGCCACCCAAAACTCCTCAGGACACCCCCAGGACCCGCCTGTATTGCCCCAACCCTGCCCCAAACTCTCTCCAGATCCCCCAAACCTCCTCCAGGACCCCAAAATCTCCATGGGATCTCCCTGCATCCTCCCAACACCCACCAAAACCCCCCGAGCACCCCGCCCTCCTTCCCTAAACTCCCACCAGGATGCCCCAAACCCCCCCTCAGGACCCCCAACCCACTGTCGAAGTCGATCTTCTCCACGATGTTCTTGGGTTTGATGTTCTCCTCCTGGTTGGAGATCAGGATCCGCCCCGGCTCTGGCTCCGTCCACCCGTATTTGCTCATCCACACCCTCAGCTGCGACTCTGGGGGGCACAGCGGGGTCTGGGGGGGCTCTGACACCCCCTAGAGACCCCCAAAACCCCCCCAAACCCTTCCGGACTCTCTTGCACCTCCCCAGGACCCCCCCAAACCCCATCACAGGACACCCAAAACCCCATCCAGGGCTCCCCAAAGCCGCTCAGGACCCTCCCAAGCTCCCTCCAGAACCCATCTTCCACCTGGGACCCCCCAAAATCCCACTCAGGACCCCCAGCCCACTCACCTGAGAGGTCCCCCAGCATCTCAGCGAGCAGCCAGCGGTCGATGTGCTGGTACGTGATCCCCACCACGTGGCAAATGACTGTGGGGACCCCCACGGCGTCACCGAGCCCCCCAAAACTGCCCAGAACCCCCACAACGCCCCCAGACCCCCGAACAACCCCCTGGGACCTCCCCAGAATTACACAAATCCTCTCCAGGATGCCCCAATTCCCCTCCCAGGACCCCTCTGTACCCCAAAACCCCCTCAGGGACCCTGAAATTCCCCCTGAAGCACCCCCAGGTTCCTCCAGGAACCCCTGAAGATAACCCAGGACCCCCAAAACCCCCTCAAGATTGCCTCCAAACCTCCCCAGGGCCCCCAAAACCTCCCCAAATCCCCTGAAGAATCCCTCCAGGACCCCCAAAACCAACCCAAACCCTCTTAAGATTACCTCCAAACCCCACCCAGACCCCCAAAACCTCCCCAAAGCCCCTCAAGATACCCTCCAAACCCCTCCAGGGCCCACAAAAACTCCCCAGGACCCCCAAAACCTCCCCAAACCCCCTCAAGATTCCCTCCAAGCCCCCCCAAAATGTCCTCCAGGACCCCCAAAACCTCCCCAAAGCACCTGAAGAATCCCCCCAACTTCCCCTAAAACCTTTCAGGACCCCCCAAAACCTTCCCAGGACCCCCCAAAGCCCCTGAAGATTGCCTCTAAGCCCCCCAAAACCCCCCCAGGGACCCCCCAGATGCCCCTCACATTTCCTGACGGAGTCCTCGAAGCCGGTGATCCCCTCCAGCAGCTCCATGTTCTCATCCAGCGCTTGCTGCCGGAATTCCGGGGGTCACCCCCACGTTTAGGGCTCCCCCTTTGTCTCCAAACCCCCCCAGGGTTTTGGGGACCCCAGTTTTTGGGGGGCTCACCCAGAAGGACTGGAAGTGGCAGGTCTCCAGCAGCTCCCCCAGGTACAGGATCTGTCGGATGGGCCGCTCCTCTTGCTGAGTTTTGGGGAGGTCAAGGGAAAATTTGGGGGAAAAAAGGGGGAGTGCAGCTGCCCCCTGGGCTGAACCCCAAAAACCTCCCTCCCCCAGGTCCCAAAATCCAAATTTGGGGGGGATTTTGAGGGGAAAACCACCAGGTTTGATCTCTCTGGAGTGGGACTGGGAGGTGTCGGGCAGGGAAAGGGGGGTCCCTGGGGAGGTTTGGGGGGTCCTTATGGAATTTGGGGTTCTCCATGGAATTGGGGGGGTTCCCTGAGGGATTCCCTCTGGAACTGGGGAGTTCCCCCTGGATTTGGGGGGTTCCCTGGGGGCTTCCCCCAGATTTGGGGTGTCCCAGGATACGTGGGCCTGGTCGATCATGCGCTTGCAGAGGGTGAAGTTCCTCTGGATTTGGGGGTTCCTTGGGGGGTTTCCTCTGGATTTGGGGGTTCCTTGGGGGGGTTTCCCCTGGGTTTTGGGGCTCCCTGTGTTTGGGGTGTCCCGGATTTGGGGTCCCCCCAGATTTGGGGTGCCAGGATACGTGAGCCTGGTCGATCATGCACTTGCAGAGGGTGAAGTCGGTGTGGGGCAGGTTGGTGAGCGCCTTGAGCAGGATCTGCGCCGTCACCCCGGTCTGGAAGAAGGCGGGGTTGAACTGGTACCTGCACAGGTGAGCCCAGGTGAGCCTGGGGGAGCTCAGGGACCCCCAAACCCCCCCGTGAGCCCCCCCAAAATCCCCCCGGAGCCCTCACAGCTTCAGCACGGCCAGGTTGGCCTCCAGGTCGTAGGCGTTCTCCTTGGCCTGCGTCTCCACGTAGCGCTCCAGCGTGGCCAGGTTCTCGGGGTTGTACCTGTGCAGGTGAGGGGGGCTGTGACACACCTGGGGCACACCTGGGACACACCCCAGCCCCCCCAGTGTACAGCTCCAGCGTGGCCAGGTTCTCGGGGTTGTACCTGTGCAGGTGAGGGGGGCTGTGACACACCTGGGACCCTTCCTTACACACCTGGGACCGTCCTATAACACACCTGGGACCTCCCTTTACACACCTGGACCCCTCTTTGCACAGCTGGGACCCCTCTTTGCACACCTGAGACCCCCTTTGCACACCTGGGAGTCCCCTTTACACACCTGGGAGTCCCTTTACACTCCTGGGACCCCTCTTTGCACACCTGGGACCCCTCTCTGCACACCTGAGACTCCCTTTACACTCCTGGGACCCTTCCTTACACACCTGGGACCCCTCTTTGCACACCTGGAACCTCCCCACCTGGAACCTCCCTTTGCACACCTGGGACCCTTCCTTACACACCTGGGACCTCCCTTTACACACCTGGGATCCCCCTTTACACACCTGGGAGTCCCTTTACACTCCTGGGACCCCTCTCTGCACACCTGGAACCTCCCTTTGCACACCTGGGACCCTTCCTTACACACCTGGGACCTCCCTTTACACACCTGGGATCCCCCTTTACACACCTGGGAGTCCCTTTACACTCCTGGGACCCCTCTCTGCACACCTGGAACCTCCCTTTGCACACCTGGGACCCTTCCTTACACACCTGGGACCTCCCTTTACACACCTGGGATCCCCCTTTACACACCTGGGAGTCCCTTTACACTCCTGGGACCCCTCTCTGCACACCTGGAACCTCCCTTTGCACACCTGGGACCCTTCCTTACACACCTGGGACCTCCCTTTACACACCTGGGATCCCCCTTTACACACCTGGGAGTCCCTTTACACTCCTGGGACCCCTCTCTGCACACCTGGAACCTCCCTTTGCACACCTGGGACCCTTCCTTACACACCTGGGACCTCCCTTTACACACCTGGGATCCCCCTTTACACACCTGGGAGTCCCTTTACACTCCTGGGACCCCTCTTTGCACACCTGGGACCCCTCTCTGCACACCTGGAACCTCCCTTTGCACACCTGGGACCCTTCCTTACACACCTGGGACCCCTCTTTGCACACCTGGGACCTCCCTTTTCACACCTGGACCCCTCTTTGCACACCTGAGACCCCCTTTGCACACCTGGGACCTCCCTTTACACACCTGGGACCCCTCTTTACACACCTGGGACCCCCCTTTACACACATGGCACCCCTCGTTACACACCTGGGACCGCTCAGGGCCCCCCAGTCCTCTCCCAGTCCCCCCAGTCCCTCCCAGTGCTCCCAGTACCGGTCGATGCCCCGCAGCAGTTTCCCCACGTTCGCCCGCATCTGCTCGAACAGCGCCATGTTCGCGGCTTTTCCGGAAGGGACGTCACAGCTACTTCCGCTTCACGATGCTCCTTTGCCACGCCCACAGTATGAATGACGTATCTGCTCCCGACCACGCCCTCCGCTTTAACCACGCCCCCTCCCAGTACGGGCCCCGTCCCGAACTGGGCGAGTTGGGGCGGGACTGGAGTGACAGTGCTGGGAGGGACTGGGTCGAACTGGGATTATAGCGCATCATACTGGGGCTGTACTGGGATCGCACTGAGCTTGTACAGGAAGCACAGTGCTGGGGTTATACTGGAACCGTACTGGATCCTACTGGGACTGTAGTTGGCTCAGCGTCAGGCTGAACTGGGCTGAACTGGGGAGGCAGTGGAGGGGTCAGTAACGACCCGGGGGATCCTGGGCGGTTTTGAGGGGTCCCAGGTGGTTTTTCGGGGGCTCCCAAGGAGCTCCTGGCATGTCACATTTTTCACCCTTTTCCCCTCACATTTTTCACCCTTTCCCCCTCATGTTTACTGCTGTTTTCCCCTCATATTTTTCACCTTTTTCTCCTCAGGTTTGCCGCACTTTTCGCCTCAGGTTCCCCCCCTTTTCCCCTCACGTTTCCCTCTCTTTTCCTTTCATGTTTCCCTCTCTTTTCCTCTCGTAATTCACACCATTTCCCCCCTCACATTTCCCTGTTTTCCCCTCACATTTCCCCCCTTTTTTCTCTCTCTTTTCCTCTCATGATTCGTGCCCTTTTCCCCCAGACCACCCTGGGACCCCCCAGACCCCCCCCACCAGGACCTCCTTTGTCCCCACCTGCCCCGTGTGCTCCGTCTCGTCCTTGTTGATCAAATACATCAGGAAAAACCTGGGGTGGGGGTTGGAATCCGGGGGTGTCAGAGGTCAGCAGGGACCCCCCAGGCCCCTGCAGGACCCCCCAAAAGCCCCCTGTGGCCCCCCCAGGCTCACATGTAGTTGGCCAGGTTGTGCTCCTCCAGCGTGTGGGTCTCGAAGCCGTGGGGCGTCGTGTCGAAATAATCGCTCCCGATGCCACAGATGAAACATTTCGTCTGGGGAGGGGGCCCGGGGGGGGTCAGAGAGGGGTCTCTGCACCCCCCAGTCCCATCTGGGGGGGGTCCTCACCCTCCTGCCCCCCTCTCCAGACTCACCTCCATGTCCTCCTTCACCTGCTCCTGCTGGTCCCGCAGCTCCCCAAAGGCGTCGATGATCAGACCTGGGGAGCACAAAATGGAGGGGTCAGCAGGGTGGGACCCCCCTGGATCCCCCCCAGGCCCTTCCAGGACCCCCAGACTGACCCCCAAGTCCCCCCCCCATGCGGGGTGCCCACCCTGGATGATGGCCAGGAGGATGACGATGACGAAGAAGAAGAAGGTGATGTCGAAGACCACCCGGTACAGCTCGTAGTCGTCCCCCGCAGGGTCCTCGATCTCATCCCCGATGCCGCCCCCGGCCCGGACCCCCACGTACATGTGGAACAGGTAACACTGGAGAGGGCACAAAGGGAGATCAGGGACCCCCGGAGAACCCCAAAAACCCACCTGGAGACCCGCCGGGACCCCCCCTCTCACCGTCATCATGTCGTCACACTTCATGTCGGGCTCATCCTCATCCTCGCTCTTGTTGTAGAACTTGCGGAAGAAGTTGAAGGCCACCACGGTGTACAGGTAGACCACCACGGCCAGCAGCCCCACCGTCATCACCAGCTGGGCACAGAGGGGTCAGGGGGGCTCAGGGGACCCCCTCCCCGAGCCCCCCCAGGGATGCCCCCACACCTGCTTGCCGTTGTGGGTGACGGAGGAGAGGATGGTGCGCAGCGTCTTGACGCCCATGGCGATGTCCAGCAGGTGCGAGGCGAAGAAGAAGTTGTTGTAGTGGCCCAGCAGGGACATGGCCATGTACCAGGTGAGGTACAGGAAGGACTGGGGAGGGGGCACACAGGTGGGGGTCACCCCAAAAGTCACAGGGTGGGGAAGGGGGTCCTACAGGCCCAGGTGAGCCCCCCAGCAGCCCCCCTGCCCATGCTCACGTTATCGGTGAAAATCACCCCGAATTTCCAGATCTGGTAGCGGATGTCGATGGATGTGATCCTAGGGGGAAAAAAGGGGGGGGTCAGTGGCTGGGAATACCCCCAAGAGGGGTGGGGAGCCCCCCAGACCCATGAGGTGGGTGTCTACCCCCTAGAGCCACCCAGGATCCCCCCAGGGGAGCCCCCAGACCCATGAGGTGTCTGACTGCCCCCAGGCCCTCCTAGGACCACTCAGGACCCCCTAACCCCTCCTTGTGACCCCTGTAGGACCCCAAAACTCCCCCAAATCCCCCCCTGAGACCCACCCAGGACCCCTAACCCCCCCTTGTGACCCCTGCAGGACCCCAAAACTCCCCCTAGGACTCACCCAGGACCCCTAACCCTCCCCTTAGACCCCTACAGGACCCCCAAACTGCCCCAAATCCCCCCCCACGAC